TTATGCACCAGAAGGCCAGTAATAGTCTGTTTTACCAATGTAAAATATGCTGTATATAGCCTGGTTATTTTTCTTTTTCTTTTTAAATTCGGTTATCATTTCTGTTCCGTTCTTATTATTGTAATGACCTGGTTCATTCTGTTTGGTGTTATTTTAAGTTCAGTGCGAATATAAAAGGCTTGTAACTCGGCATCACAGTAAAATTAGGTGCTGCTATCAAACCTGATGGGTTGAAATTTCTCTTTTACTCTGCGCAACAAACCTTCCTCTGCTTTACGATCCCAAAAAAGGTGGGAAATGTTTTAGTGTTTTTGTTAAATTTTAGCAGAGATGTTTTGGCTTGTGGACAGCCTGCTTGTTGGCTATAGTCTCCCCCGTCCAGGACTGCTGGCTCAGTCTGGCTGTGTGCATGCGTGTGTGTTTGCATGACAGCGCTGTGTCATGCGTTTTTTCTTCGGGGTCTCTAATTTCCTCCTGCAGCCTAGATAACACGTGGCTATGCACACTGGTGTCTCTTAATTGACCTGTCTGTCTGTGTGCGTGCGTGTGTGCATATGTGTGTGTGTGTTTGTGCATATGCGTGTGTGTGTTTCTGCATTTGCGTGTGTGTGTGCGTGCATATGTGTGCGCGTGTGTGTATCCCACCACGTCTCATCCAGGGAGTCTCCTGCGATGTGCTTCCTGTTTTTGGCTTCACCCAGTAGAGACATGGATACTCTAGGAGATTCTGGGGCCCCACCACTTTTTACAGGGGCCCAAGAATACATGAAATTGGTCGCGGGGGGCATAATCTCCAGCTGTTCCCCTGGCTTCACCCTCACTTCATTGGATAAGTTATCAATGGATTTCAATTTGTTTAATTTTCCACAAAAGTTTCTTTTCAGTATGACTTTAAAAACTTGAATTAATAACTAGATTCACTTGTTGATTCGCTTTATAACCACAGCCTTACTCTACATGCTTGTGGTGTAATGAGAGCCCAGTCATTTTATATGGGTGTCACCATGCTCAGGGAGTGACGGAAGCTGCACGTTCCACCTACTCGTCACCAGGATCCCATCTCCTGCGGCACTTCCGGGGGGAGGGGGGAGAGAGGTGTTCACGGACAGTGTTCTGAACAAAACGGAACCGAAGATCTGACCCCCGGATCTCAGAAGCCACCCTTGGGCTGTGAAACACCTTTGCAATTAGCTGCCCCCCCCCCATGGTTAATTTAGAAAATGAAGGATATTATATCAGACATCAGGGGGTTTGAGCAGTAATTAAGAAGAAAACCAGTCACATGTTCAGCTTTATAGTGCTGTACATGTAACACACATTTAGGGCAGCTGATCAGTGTGAATGATGCCAATTTCATACGTCTGAGCCTTCAGCCTTCTTGCCATAATCAAGCAGCCCATTGGGAGCACTGTGACCTCACAGGATATGGGCACTCAATCCTTGGCCCAGGTTCTGCGCGCGGTTCTCAGCCTGGGGCCAGGCCCTGCGCGCGGTTCTCAGCCTCGGGCCCAGGCTCTGCGCGCGGTTCGCAGCCTCGGGCCCAGGCTCTGCGCGCGGTTCGCAGCCTCGGGCCCAGGCTCTGCGCGCGGTTCGCAGCCTCGGGCCCAGGCTCTGCGCACGGTTTCCGCGTGTGGGTCCCTATTCAGGGTGTCCCCTCCTCAGTGCCACAGCTTCCTGGGATAGGCTCCAGAAAGTGGTTAATGGAGAAAATGATCATTTATGATAATTAAAATAACCTTTTAGGGATTACAGGTAGAGTACACTTTAAGTTCCAGTCTTGTGACCTTGAGTGAGGTAATTAACCTGAATTGTTTCACCAAATTACCCAGAGATATGAAGAATTAAGGACAGATCCTTAGCAGAGGAGTGTCAGCAGAAAGGGCGACTTCCTCTCAGTGTGAGTTATGAAAGGCTGAACATGGAACACAGCTCTGGATGTGTAGTTGTGTGTGTCGTAGGGGCCCTGTCTTAGTCAGGGGGCCCCAAAATCTAACATTGGGGCCTGATTGTTAAAATCTACCGAGGGGGACACCCAAGGTGACATTTAGCTTGGGGCCCCAGAATTTCTGGCCGCGCCCCTATATGTATACAGTTGTGTTTGCGATTGTATATCTGTGTATTTTATGACTGTGAGTGCAGCAGTGCTTACTTGAGTGTTGCTAGTGTGTCTGTGCATGTTGTAAGAGTGTAGCAGTGTGCATCTGTATGAAGTGTGTGTGTTTGTGTGAGAGAGTGAGTTTTGATGCCATTCCTGTTTCACGAAAGCTTGATTTTAGCAGAAAGCCATTTTCTATGGCCATATATTTTTTAACATTAACGCTTCAATATATCGACGTATCATCTACCTCAGTGACCTCGCTGCAGTAATGATGCTTCTTTTCATCTACAGGAAGTTTGAGCTGCTGAAATTAAAATGACGAGAATGTCATCTATAAATAGACATGCTTGTGCTAACAGCTGCCAGCTTACAACAGCTGATTGTGCAAATTCATACTTTGGTACGATTCCGAGACACCCTTAAACGTAGATTGAAGAGGATTGGAGGAATTTTTATGACCCGGTGAAGTGGGACATTCAGAAATATCGCGGAGGTTAAAAGGAGAGTTTGGACGTAATTATCTCTTTTTCGTGCAAAATGTCATGATTTTCATCATCACTACTGATAGACTGATACCTTTCATTTTCTTGTTTTTTAAATTTTTGGTTACATTTTTAAATACAGTAGTTTGTTATTCCTGTCATCCAGCCGAGACTTGATCGAGTTGAATGAACGGCCTTGATTGTCATATATACCGGCGTTTTAGGTTCAATATTTGTGTAGTCGTTAGGGAGACTGGTTCTCTGATAGGCAAAAATTTCTATTTGTTGCCATCTTGTGGACACACTTTGCTATTGCATGGGGCGCTCAACGCATCATTGATTCGGAGGTCAATTAGGTGTGAGAAGAGCCGTTCCTGGAGCTGGAGTAACTGAAAGTATCTGTTTTTCCATTCGCCGATACGGTCTCCATTCATGCAAACAGTCTCCTTCCCTTTTACTGTATGTTGAGTCATTTTGAGTGATATTACAGGAAAAAACGTTAGCAGGTTCCACTCTTGGTGGAAGGAACAGGATTTGGGTTTCCTTAGCGAGTAACCAGGTAAATAAACAGGCAAAAGGTCCTTTTAGGTCAACACACGAATGCACGAAAGAACATAGTCATCCCTTTAATAATTCCTGAGTGGTAGGTGTGGTGCTTCCACTGTCATAATTCCCAACCACCTGATTTTTTTTCGTACGCTTGGGGGGGTGAGGAGTGTCTGAACAGGGGCGTATTGTCTTTGAAGGCGCCAAGGATTCAGGTCACGTCTGGTGCACCTGAAAAGCGCAGTCTGGAGCCGCGCTAATCTGATTTTAAAATCCATGAGATCACGGTGTTGTGGGCATGCTTGGGAGACGCCCAACCTCTGCCAGGGCATCGCGGGTCACCTGTCTGTCGTCTTTCAGTGCTGATAAGGCGGCGCTCCCACTAACCTGAGACCAAAAGACAGCCCTCACCTTTAGACAACTGGCATCTCTGCCTGAATGCTATGCTCGCTTAAAGCCCTTGTCCCATAAAACCCTTTAAAATTGTTTAAAATCACTACTATTAAAACTGACAAAATTTCTGAAAGTTTAAAAAAAAAAAACTAACTTGTGCCCACTAGGGGGCGGTATGGTACGTGTCAATTTTTACTCCAACTCCGTAATTGTATACGTAAACGCTGAAAGGAAACAGCCATACTGTATTCTCGAGACTCCTACCTTTTATTCCAAAACTTACTCATCACTTGCTACATTTAACAGCCTTTTGTATCGAAAATATTCATTCCGTCCCATCTCCTGCTTTTAAAGCCTGCTTTGCCACAAATAAAACTTATGTGAATTAAAGTTGTACTGTTTACATAAGTTTTATTTACCTTTAGGCACATGTCATGAGATCCGCAGTTCAGGGTTAGATACGTGAATCCACACCAGGGAGTACGGTGGCGGAGGAATTGGTCTGCAGTATCAGACAGCGTAGATGGTCCCAGGGTGATCTGTATGTGGTCCAAGGAATAGGGTGAGGAACAGTGGCCAATCTGCCAAAACTGAGCCAGGGTTAGTAGTTATATACAAAACACTCGGTGTTTGTTTCTGAATTTTATACTTAGCATTTTGAAATGTTGTGCAATATAGCTGATGCCCTAACAGCCGCCTGCGGTAACTTTACAGACCGTAGTACAGATGCTTGCCAAATGTCGAGCTTAGCTCACAATTTGTACTGTGTGTGATGCTGCTCATTGATGGCGTAGTGAGGATCGAATGTCCAGTTTGAAAGATAAAACACATTTCAGGTACATTTAGTACTGTGAGGGCATTGTCTCTTTTCTCTTTTTTGTCTCTATTCTTTGAGTTGACAATAGCAGTTTTTTGTTTACTGGTCACTTTTGATTTTCCTGCTGTGAACGGAAATCTATTTACGGCATGCCCGAGTCAAGTACGATGGAGATCGCGATAAACCTACTGGTGTCTGTTAATAATGCAAAAGTCAAATGCAAATTGAGGGGGCCCAGCTTAGCTTTTTAGCTACGAGGGAGGCATTTATTTGATTAGGTTATTGATTAATGGGCTGAATTGAGGAGTTCCAGTCTAATTAAATGATGCACTCAATTGCTGTTTGGTGGAGCCGCTCGTACTTCGGTTCCGTCAGGAAAAGCCCTCGGTCAGCCGTATGTTCACGCTGCCTATTTGCTAAGCTGACACCAAGCCTGCCGGTCGCACCGCAGAGATGACGCTCCAGAAAGGCGAACGTTCAGTGTTGATACTGTTCTTCATGTTCAGCTTTAGGGTTCCTGTCTTGAGTCAGTCGCCATCGTGGTCGTCATTGTCATCGTTATTGTCACCATCGCTGTCAGTTCCGGTTTTGCTGTCTTCACTCACTTCATCTGTCCATTTTTTTTACGTTGTGTGCACTGAGCTATGCAAACTTATCTTTTTAGGGTCAAGGAAGAACAAAAGCCTCAGCCAGCACAGTAAGTAGCAAATTACCCAGAGTGCTCTAGGCTTTGACGCCTCTCCCCCCTCCCTTGCTCTACGCCTTGTGCTACCTGTGGCTTTCTTGGTCTCCAAGACACACAACCCCCCCGCTGGTACCTGGCTGCACTTAGTGTGTCATCTGCCTTCTGATTGGCTTTAAGAGAGCTTCCTCTTGGCTTCTAACTTCATCCACATATTGGGCTGGATGCATCTTCTTTGCAGTTTGCATTTATGTCCACTTTACGGAGGAGTAAGGGGGTTGGGTCTGTAGTTTTCTTTGCTTTGTTCCTATTGGCTGGCAGTTTAACGCAGCTTCCCATCTCCATTGCCTGTAGAGTTCCTGCCTGAAAGTTTCATTTTTCATCCTTTCTAAAAATACCGCTGCTGTCCTTGATATCCCTGTTACCGCTGATGATATCTGTAGTGCTCTAAGCTGATGGTACCATGACACCCCCCATGCCGTAATGGTCTGAACTTTGTAGGAGTTATGCAGCTGGAATACTTATTTGTTTGTTTACTTACTTCCCCTTGACTGTCTGGTCACATGATTTGCTTGTTTGAACAGGTGGTTTCCCTTTAGCGGAATTACTGAGCTGGTAAATAACGTTCTTCAGCCACAGCAAAGGTCCCAAAATGAGAGGGAGCCAGAAACGTAAGTATGACCCCGTGAGCACAGCAAAATATTCTGAGGGTCGATTGAAAAATGACTGATAACCATTCGGATTATAGAGGAGGCGGGACCAAGGCATCTGATTGGTTGGTCCCACCTCCTCTATAATCAGAATGGTTATCTCTCTGATCCAGCCATTTTCCTTCTGCCCTCAGAATATTTTTGTGTAAATAAATGTCCCATGAGTCCAGACTCACTGTGGTCCACACTTAATAAAACCCAAGGGTTTGAAATGTATGTCATTTCACACTCAGCATTCAGGCTGTCCAGAAAATATTTAGTTAATTACTGTGTTTATTAACCACTGAATGTGAAATGTTTATCCACATCGTACATTCCTGTATAGAGCTGCGAGGAGTGGAACTTAGTGTTCAAATCAGAGGTGCTTCATTCGGCATGTTACATTTTTCTTTTTGAATATTACAGCTTCCTTCTGTGCTGGAGACATTTCAGTTTGAGTTTGAGGTGAATGTTGTGGAATGAAACAGAGGAGCCTCTCTTTTTGCTTGTAGCTTAGCAAGTATAGCATTGTGCTAACAACACAAGGGTTGTGGGTTCACATCCCGGGGAGCAGAAACACAGCAATCGGAACCCTTCTCTGCACTGTAAGTCTCTTTGGATAAAAGTGTCAGGTGAATGCGGTGCATTCATACAGGTGTGTGTAAGTGTAGGCTCACGCAGCACTTAAACAGCAGATTAGTGCCCTGATGCCCCTGATATGTGAGTGAGACAGTGGGAGGGTGAGATGGAGTGAGGATCAAGTGGTGTGTGATGGTGGTAGAATGAGATGGACAGAGGGTGAGATGGTGTGTCGATGGACAGAGGGTGAGATGGTATGAGAGATGAGTGAGGTGGAAGAGACAGTGGAGTACGGTAAAGTGGAGTGAAATGGTGGCAGAGTGGGAGTAGGTCACAGGCTGACCGAGAGGGAGGGTGGAGTGAGATTGAGGGAGTACAGATAGTGGAGGAGTGAGACAATGTTAGTTGGAGGTTGGG